GTGAAGGGTAAACAAAGGAGGAGGAGGCTGCAATGCTTGGGAAGAAATGTACGCATTATCCTGCTCATGTAATTGTAACCCCTCTGTACAGTATGTTCACAAATAAAATAAAAGAAAAAAAAAAAGAAAAACTACTCATAAAAAATAATTAAGCCTTAATTGAAGGAATCGGGCAATGAATACTTAACATACCTATATGTATGCTATAAAGACTCTTACCATGGAGGAATATTCTGCATGCTGGGTATAGTTAAAGGAAGGAAAATTGTGGGAGGACCATCACAGCTGCTTTAGGCAGAAGGATCACCACAATTGAAAGGATTTCTCCAAAGAAGAGATACTTCAGCTGAGACCTAAAGGGTAATTTCCCTTATTTGAAATAACTCTTATATGTCTGAGTCAAGCAGAAAAGGTCAGATAAGTTGATGTTAGGAGAATGAACCCCTAGATAAGTTCTCAAGTGTTTTTTTTTCTTTCATGCAATTGTTTCTAACATATTTATAAGATGATTTCTAAGTTGCTTTGTATATCCCTTCCCCATGATATAACCCTTGCTTTCACTGTATTTGATGTTGGTATAATTTGTGGAGGGGAAGGGCAAAAACAAATCGTTTAACTAGGGATACAGGTGGACCCATTGCATCAATGAGATGTACAAGTCATTATGTTGAAAATGAACTTTACAACTTTGGTGGGGGAGGGGGGAAGGAGAATTGGGTGGGGGGGAGAGGGGAAAGAGGACTGGGTGGCCAGGCGGGGGTAGGATGGGAAGAGATGGGAAGGAGAAACAAAGGAGGAGGCTACAATGCTTGATAAGAAATGTACTCATTATCTTGCCCATGTAATTGTAACCCCTCTGTACAGTATTTTCACAAATAAAAAAACTTCTATAAGCAAAAAAAAAAAGAAGAAAAAGAAAAATGAACTTCACAACTTTGGCATGGAGGGGAGTATGGGAAGAGAGGGGAAGGGGAAACAAAGAGGAGGCAACAATGCTTGATAAAAGTGTACTCATTATCTTGCCCATGCAATTGTAACTCCTCTGTATGGTATTCTCACAATAAAAGTAAATTAATTAATTTTTTAAAAATCTCAAAAAAAAAATGAGTCAGACTTGCCAAGACTGAGGAAGAACATTTCCGATAGATGAGAGAGTAAGACTCAATGTGGGATAGTCAGACCTAAAAGAAGTCCATGGATGTTGCTGCCCAGAGTGAAATTAGGATACTGGATCTAAGTAATATGCCTTGTCCTCATAGTCTTCCGGGAGCCTAGGTTGGTGATGGGGACTTTTTACCCAGTTTCAAGAGCCTAGAGATGAGACAAGCCATTCTTTGAATTGCAGATGCTTACCTCCAGGAAAGTTATTAGAACTCTGCTGGAGAGGATATGCAAATAGCATGCTGTTCAGCCATAGGGGAAGTTTTGCATGTCCTTGAGACATGCTTTGTTTAACACTTTTGGTCTCCACTACAACATGTGGTTTTTGTCTTTAAAAGCTTTGTGTATGGAGTGGGGGAGCTGGCTCAGTGGTAGAATGATTCCCTTGCATGCATGAGGCCCTGGGTTCCATTCCTCAGCACTACATCAGCAGAAAAAAGCCTGAAAGTGGCACTATGGCTCAAGTGGTAGTGCACAAGCCTTGAGCTGAAGAGCTGAGGGACAGTGCCCAGGCCCAGAGTGCAGGCCCCATGACCGACAAAACAAACAAACAAAGCTGTGTGCTACCTCAATTCTGGGCTGCAGGTCATTGAGATTGGAGTCTACCAGGAGTCACTGGCTTTTGAATAAAGACTCCCAATCTCAAATTGTGGCTTCTCTGTTTCTCACAAATGAATTCCCATAAAACAAGAGAACCCATGAAGGAGAGATAATGAATTAAGACTGAGGATCACACCATGTTTAAAATATAGAATCTTATATATCACTGTCTGAAATCTGCCTTTCAGTTTTGGAGCAATAGAAAGCCATTGAAACTCTTGAGGAAAGCACAGGGAGCTCTCAATTTACACTTTATAAAGCCATTTAGATAAATCATATTGGTGGTTTTCCAACTATAATTGGTTTTTTGGGGGACTTGGTAACACACAACTCTAGCTCAGTGGCTCAGAGAGAACCTGAGATTTTTGTACAGGTTCCAATACTCACTATGAGGAGAAAAGACATGGACAGTAGATGTCTGGATGGATAAAGGGCCAGTGAGAAGGTAATTTAGCAAAAAACAGTGCTTTGCAATTTTTATAAAAGCTATCTCAGTTTATTGTTTAAGTATGACTTAAGTATGTTCATGAAATCTCAGTCTATAATAATAGGTGAAGGATGGACTCCCACTTTGTTTTCCCAGGTACATACAGATACCAGGCAACCCACCAAAGATAAGTGCATACTGCCTAACTCTAGCAGGACAAATTATCTTAGCCTGGCTGTAAACATTCCATTAGGGCCAAACCAAAAAGCCCCGCCCCCCCATCTCCCTTGACTTAGTGACTCTTTCATTAACCTCTGCCTCCTTACCTTATAAAAACCCAGCTTTTGTCCCAGCTCTTACACACTGTCTCCAAGCTCTTGGGAAGGCTGTGTCCCATGCTGCTCTATCTCAATAAACAGTCCTCACCTGTGGAAGATTGAGTCCAGCCTGTTTCCTTCTTACCACCTCCATTTTCATAACAATAGGTAATTAGAAACATTAAAAATGTGATTATTTAAAAATACATATCTATACAAATAAAAATACAATCATTGAAAATTTTGCTCTTAACATGTTTTGGCTTGTATGAATATATATTCAAAAATAATACATAATATATATGAATATGCATTCATATTATATATGATATTTATTATAGTCATATGAATATATATTCATATATTATATATACATAAGAGAAACAAGCATGTTCATATATACCAGATACTTGTAAGCTTTTGCCAGGGTATACTGGTGAAACTTGTATACTGGACTCAGAGGTCTCCCCATAGAGAGGAAGAGCAGTTGTTGTCAGCAACAAGTCCAGGAGTAGAGCTATATGCACTATGAAATTAATTAGTTGCAAAAGGAAATTTAATTCAACTTAAATTTAAGTTCTTCACCTATCAAGATGATGTGTTATCTTGTAGGATTTTAATGTGTGATTATAAAGGAAATTTTCTTCATAAATACAAAAGACTTGTCACTTTTACCCAAAAGGACAGGATAAGAATGGCAGAGATGAGACTTAGCCTTGGGTGTGTTTGAGGAACACTGAAACACAATGCACAGAAGAAGCAGAATGAATCTGCATGTTAGGAGGCTGGGATGTCCAAGACTTTTCCAACTTATTTATTTATTTATGTATTTATTTATTTATTATTTATTTTGTGTGTGTGTGCTTGTGTGTGTGTGTGTGTGTGTGTGTGTGTGTGTGTGTGTGTGTGTGTGCGTGCCCGTGCACATGCTGGTCTTGGGGCTTGAACTCAGGGCTTGGGCATTGTACCTGACCTTTTTTTGCTCAAGGCTAGTACTCTATCTCTGCAGGCACAGCTTCACTTCCAGCTTTTTTGTGCTTTATTGAAAATAAAGACAGACTTTCCTGCTTGAGCTGTTTGAACGGAAATCCTCAGACTTCATCTTCCTTAGTAACAAGTATTATGTGCATAAGCCACCGTCACCCAGATATATTTGCTTTTTGCCTTCTATTTGCTAGCCACAAACTAAGGCCAAAGGTAGAATTGTTTTCAAGGTGTTGCAGGAAATGATAGAAGTGTTTCTCTCTTGAGAAATGCTGTTGATAATGGTAGGTGTTCTCTACTGGATCCTCATGAATGAAGGCTCTCCTGCAGACAGCTGGGTCACGTCATTATAATGAAGACTATTACAGAGGAGATCCATTAGTATGCCTACTTTTATACATATGTAAATTTATATTTTTGAATGAATTAGTAATTATGCAAATCTGCTGAGGAAAGTAAAAATCAAAACCTGTAGATGCCAGCTTTCTAATAGAGTCTCAATATAATGTGTCAAGAGGAGGCTTCTCTGTTTTCTCACAACTGGATTTGCAACTGAGATTTACCTTACAACAATCTGTGCGTACAGTCAAAATGAATTAAATGATATCCTAGAATATGTAGCCACATTTAAGTTTATTTCTATTTCTATGACTTGCAGTTAGATGCAGTCCTTCAATTTTTTTAAGATAATGGTTTTGTTTTTAAGTGACCTTTCTTTGGACTGAAATAGAATCTGTGAAATAAATGATAAGCTTAACAAATCACATTCCCACCACTTAGAGATGATCATTTTTAATGCATGTTTCATTTTTTTGTTAGGCTGTGTCTACCTTTCACCTAAACACCTGATTTTTGAATCATATTTAAATGTTGTAATTATTCCTAAAAAGAACCTTATAGCTAGTTTGTGCAAACCAGTATTACAATTGTGTGTTGGCTGCCTATCTCACAAGTGATTTTTTTAGACTGGTAGCTGAAGAGCTCAGGACAGCCTTGTGCTGCCTTTAGAAAGTTGCACCTACCAGTGTCACACTGCCAAGTTGTCTGAGCATAAAGATCTCCTCTGGAACAGTTACAGAATATGACAGAAGAGTGTTCAAGACCTTTACACGGACTAAATTGGTGGAACATGTCTCTCTTTCTACAATGTGCTTGCTGAGAATCTCAATAGCCAGGAGATAAAGCCCGAGTAAATAGTCAGAGGAAATATTCATCAAGACATTGCATTCAGCTGCCTGAACTTTCCACTTTCTGTTTGTAGTTGGAATTCAGACTGAGTTTTTTTCCCTCCCATCCTACCTAAATAACTGTCTATTTCAGCAGCAATAATGAAGCATGACAATCTTACAGGAACAGTCAGAATCACTGGTTAACTTTACATGCTGACTGAGGATATTTTAGACTAGGTAGACTTCCAGGTTCACCCTCAAACTCTATGAAAGAAGCTGCTATTACTTTCAGCCGTAATAAAAACAATAAACAGCATAAAATGCAATGCCCCTGCTCCAGCTCTAAGCCTCCTTGACAGCCTCCAAGGGCAGGTTTGGGTACTGGTTGCAGGTGTCTGGGGAGCATGGTGTGCCCACCACACAGATGTAAGAAGCAGTGTCGCTGAGCTGGGAGGCTGTGATGTGCAGGTAGCTGTGCTTGGACTCTGAATCCAAAGTTGCTGCGTACCTTCCATTTGACTTTTTACTCTCTGTATAATTCATTCTTATCAGGGAAACAGGGCCTTTCTCTGTGTCCTGTTTGTACCACCTTAAGTTGTTAAAAGGGCTCACAGTATAATTGCACTGAATAGTGCAGTTCTCTCCCTCCAGAACTTTCTGGAGCCATGGACTCTGCTCCACCTGGGTTCTGCCACTCACTCCTATTCAGAAAGCAACATGAGATTCAAGAGATAAGTTGTCTGATCATCTTAATATTTTCTAATTGACATACTTTCTTTACAGCCCACAGTGAATCCCTAGTAAATAATGTTGCTACTTCCTAGTAAGTAATGTTGCTTACTTCCACCACAGTGTACTATGCCTTTAATCTAGATCTTAAGAAATATTCATCCAACCTGGCAACCACTGCTCATTAACTTACCACAAAAACAAAGCCAGAAAACTACCAATGAGGTCTTCAGGTATTTCTCCATTCTGGTTCTGCTTCTCCTTTCTGTAAGGTCAAACAGAAGGATTTGCAAAGTGGCCAGCCACAGTCTAGACCCAATACGCATTAGCCCAGAAATCATAGAAACAGTGCCATCTAGGGGTTAACGTTATGGCTGCTTAAGCTTTCTGATTAAGATTTTGGCTTAATGTAATATTTTTTTTTTTAATCTATAAATAGTTTTCCATAGTGTTTTCAATTCAATATGTCAGTTTATGAGTACAAATTATCATTCTTGGAAATTCTATATTAAAACTTGCTTGAAACTAACCAGAGCTTTGCTTAGAAATTAGCAAAGTGATGCTAATTCATATAAGACTGAGAGAAATGAGTCTCAGTGCTCAGGGAGAAAGATCCATTAATGTTATAATATGAAATAACAGGTATTTTATATTTAGTAATGTCTCCTATTTGATAATTGGATAGTATTAAAATATAGAAGAACAAAACAAGGCTTATTTAATTGAAGTACAAAATATTATGTATATTATACATAATATGTTATAGTTAATACGATAATGTACTTTTTTTGGAAAGTAGGAAAAAATATGACATCACAGCAAGGTATTTCATTTTATGTATTTTATGAGCATCCGTAACTCTGAGACAAAACAGATAAAAGATAGGAAGGCATTATTTCAATATTTGACACACTTTTCCAATGTCCTATTTTTATGTGGCAATATTGAAACCTAAGGTACAAAGGCACCCTGGTGATTATCTTCATATATCTGTTTATCCTCATATATCAGTTGAGCACCCAAAATTCTCCAGGAGATTCAGATGGCATAATGAGAAGGGACCAGAGCAATGCAAGCATGGACAAAAATGCTTGTTGATATAGATTTAGAAGTCTGATGAGGTCTTTGGTGGCACCTAAATCACTAATTAGGTCTGATGTGCTCCAGTGGTAGTAGTTTCCTAATTTAGATGCTGGTTATCATTGTACTCTATTTATTTGCTTAAATTCTATGGTCTTATGAGCTATTATTCTGACTCAATGGTTTAACTACATTTGTTTTACTGTATTTATTTATTTATTTTGGAGGGGGTTCAGTCGTGGGGCCTGAACTCTGGGCCTCGGTGCTGTCCCTCAGCTCTTCAGCTCAAGGCTAGCACTCTACCACTTGAGCCACAGTGCCATTTCCGGCTTTTTTCTTTTTGCTTATGTGGTGCTGGGAAATTGAACCCAGGGCCTCATTCATGCAAGGCAAGCGCTCTATCACTGAGCCACCTTCCCAGTCCTTACTGTTCTATTTAAATAGCTTTTCACTTGTGAGACTTACCTTCAATGAAGCACACACACACACACACACACACACACGAAAAATAACCTAGAAGTGGAGCTGTGGCTCAAGTAGCAGAGTCCTAGCTTGAACACAAACGCTCAAGAGCAATGCCCAGGCCATGAGTTCAAGCCACAGATATGGGGTAGCAGCCACTAGTTGAAAGAGAAGGTTAAGGGGCCAGTGCTTGAATGGCTCAAACCTACAATTCTAACTACCTGAGATCTAAGTATTCAGATTTGAAGCCAGCCCAGACAGACAAATCTGAGACATATCTCTAAATAACCATCCTGGGTTCAATTCCCTCAACTGACAAAAACAAAAACAAAACAAAAATTTCTGGGGAAGGTTTAGGAAGATGGCTTTTCTGAAACTACCAAAGAGGTGGAAAACATGGATTCTCTTCTATCCTCTCCTGTTACCCTTCTTTGTTGTTCTTTTTTCTTCTTTCTCTCCTCTGCTCTCTTTCTGTTCCAACAAATTCTACCCAGACACATATTTGGATTTTTAGGTAAGCCGATTCTCTTTACTTTTGAAAACTTCCATTTTCCTCATATTTAAAACCTTGTACCTTTCTAGCTCCACAAGTCCAGACTTCACACATTTACACTGCTCAAGAATAAATAATGACATACATCTTTCTGATGAGGGCAGGGAGTATCTTCAAAACCACAGATCAAAGCATATCACTCTTCTACTTAGAAACCTACCATCATTTCCCATTAAATTCCATATTAAGCTGGACACTGCCTATAATCCTAGCTACTCAGGAGGCTGAGATTTTGGGATCATGGTTTGAAAGGAGATTGGGCAGGAATATCAGTGAGATTTGCCTCAAATTACACACACACATACACACACACACACACACACACACACACATATACACACATACGGTGGAAATGGAGCTATGGCTCCAGTGGAAGACAGCTAGCCTTCAGCACAAGAGCTCAGGGACAGAGAATGTGCCCTGAGTTCACCCCAGGGCTGACACACACTGATATACACACACAGACACACACAGACACACACACAGAAAAACAATTCTTTATCACTTTTCATAAGCCTGACAAGGCATGGTGTCCAAGTCACTGACCTCATCTAATTTATCTTTTTTGCCCTCCTCTTTTTGTTATGTTTCTTTAAGGATGTTTTTTCTACTTCGTGTGTGTGTGTGTGTGTGTGTGTGTGTGTGTGTGTGTGTGTGTGTGTGTGTGTGTGTGTGTGTGTGTGTGTGTGTGTTGGCCCTGCAGTTTGAACTCAGGGCCTGGGTGCTGTCCCTGAAACTTTTTGGTCAATTCTAACACTCTACCACTTGAGCCACAGCTCTGCTTCTGTGGTGAAGATTACTTCTACATTTTTTGGTGGTTAATTGGAATGATAAATCTGATTGGGCTAGACTATCTTGCCTGGCCTGTCTTCAAATTGTGATCTTCAGATCTCAGCCTACTGAGTAAATAGGGTTACTGGCATCCAGCTAGCTAGCCTCCTTGCTTGTGCTCTCTCTCTGTCTCTCTGTCTCTGTCTTTGTCTCTGTCTATCTCTCTTTTCTAATGTCTGTGTTCTGGCACTGGGGCTAGAACTCAGGGCTTAACAGTCTACCTTGCCCCCTTTCTCCCAAAGCTGGTAATTGACCCATGCCTCCTGTTTTTGATAGTTAAATAAATGGTGTAAGAGCCTCACAAACTTTTCTGGCCTGTCTGACCTTCCATTGTGATCTTTAGATCTTGGCTCCCTGAGTAGCTAGGAAGAGGTATGAGATATATATATATATAAATAGAGAGAGAGAGAGAGAGAGAGAGAGAGAGAGAGAGAGAGAGAGAGAGAGCTCAGATTCATACTTAATTTTTTAACTGTTACTATAAAGATAGGGCTTACAGTTACATAAGTCAGGTATAGAGTACATTTCTTTCCTTCTTTCTTTTTTCTTTTTTATTATTTTATACATTTTTTATTGTGAAAATACCATACAGAGGAGCACATTTCTTTTGGAACAATATCACCCCTCCTTCTTCCTGTTAGGTTTATTTAGAGTGAGTCTAGTGTAGCCTTCACTCTTAAGGGCTAGTTTATCTTTACTGCTGAGTCTTGATTCTTCTGAATTCACTCTTAGTCCTTAGGTGTTCAATGAAGTCTGTTCACTTTGGTTGTCTGGAAAACAGATGTTTCAGCCTAGCTTGAGCTCTGGGGATTGTGTTGCTAACTACTCATGTAGTTCCTCTCCCAGCTGTGTGGCATTACCTAGTGCTTGAACAGGGTATTATTCAGATGAAGACACAAGGGCACATTTGTAGGTTCTTGGAACATTTTACTTATATAGCTTCATCCTCTCAAGTTTTCTGACTTTCAATTGGTAGCTGCTTCAGCCTTCCCTGACTCCAGATTTTATTCCTGACTTATATTGCCTGCTAGTGTTCTGTTCTCTTTAGGTTCTCTTCTGTGTGTTGGGGTTTGGAACTTTTCTTTAGGCAGAAAGCCCAGTTTTATGGTAGACTTTGTTTTGCTTTTTCTCCTGGATAAAAATCTTGTTCTCTCTTTTGTCCAGGGTCTGAAAATAGTTCTTTCTTCTATTTTGTCTGGTTTTCTAGTTGCTATATAGGAATGCAAGTGTAATATCAGCTTATTTATAGTACAGAAAGCAAAAGTTTTCTCCATAAAAGTGTTTGATATAATATAGTTAAATTACTCAATGTACTAGTTGATATAGTATATTATTTTTTATTGTGAAAATACCGTACAGAGGGGTTACAATTACATGAGCAAGGTAATGAGTACATTTCTTTTTTTTTTTTTTTAATTTTTTTTTTGGTCCGGTCGTGGGCCCTGAACTCTGGGCCTAGACACTGTCCCTCAGCTCTTCAGCTCAAGGCTAGTGCGCTACCACTTGAGCCACAGCGCCACTGCCGGCTTTTTTCTTTTTGCTTATATGGTGCTGAGGAATCGAACCCAGGGTCTCAGGCATGCAAGGCAAGGGCTCTTCCACTGAGCCACCTTCCCAGCCCATGAGTACATTTCCTATTAAGCATTGTTGCCTCCTCCTTTGTTTCCCCTTACCATCCATTCACATCTCCCCACCCACACCCCTCCTTCATCCACCTGTGCAAAAGTTGTAAATTCATTTTTCAACATAACGTCTTGTACATCTCATTGTAGCAATAAGTCCACCTGTATCCCTGTTTAAACAATTTGTTTATTTCCTTCTCCTCCACAAATTATAACAACATCAAATACAGTGAAAACAGGGATTATACCATGGGGGAGGTACATACAAATCATCTGTTGGAATTAACAGCAAGAAAGAAAAACCACTTGAGTCCTTATCTTGGGGTTCATTTCACCTAACATCAACTTATCTGACCATTTCTGTTTGTCTAAGACATATAGTAGTTATTGAAAATAAGGGAAACCATGGGACCTATGTTTCTTTGGGCCTGGATTACTTCACTTAATGTAATTTTTTCCAAGTCTTTCCATTTCCTAACAAATGGAGCAAGGCCATTCTTTCTGATGGAGGCACAGAATTCCATTGTGCATATATACCACATTTTTTTGTTCCATTCATCTACTGAGGGGCATCTGGGTTGGTTCCATATCTTAGCTATGGTAAATAATGCTGCAATAAACATAGTAGTGCTGGCAGCTTTAGTATAGTCTTGTTTGTGATCATTCAGGTAAATGCCTAAAAGTGGGATTTCTGGGTCATAGGGGAGCTCTATGTGGAGTCTTTTGAGGACCCTCCATACAACTTTCCAAAGTGGTTGAACAAGTTTACACTCCCACCAACAATGCAGTAGGGTTCCCTTATCTCCACATCCCCACCAGCATCTGTTGTTATTAGAGTTCTTGATTATAGCCATTCTATCTGCAGATTCAATGTGATACCTATCAATTTTCCTAGCTCATTCTTCAAGGAAATAGAAGAGGAAATCCAAAAATTCATATGCAACAGTAAAAGACCCCAAATAGCAAAAAATGATCCTTAACAGAAACAACAATGCTGGAGGAATATCAATACCAAATTTCAAACTCTACTACAAAGCCACAGTAATCAAAACAGCTTGGTACTGGCACAAGAACAAATCTGAGGACCAATGGAATAGAACTGAAGTCCCAGAAATGAACCCACAGACCTATAGCCACCTAATCTTCAAGAAGGGAGCTAAAAATTAGAATGGAAGACAGCCTCTTCAGTAAATGGTCCTGGCAAAAATGGTTAATCACCTGTAGAAAACTAAAGCTAGATCCCTATATATTACCCTGCACTAGAATCAACTCCAAATGTATCAAAGACTTTGGAGTCTAAGCAGATACCCTGAAAACATTATAGGAAGGAATGGGAGAAATTCTATGGCTCCTTGGCACAGGCCAAAATTTTCTTAATAAAGACCCAGAAACACAACAAATCTAAGAAAGGTTGGACAAATGGGATGGCATGTAGCTTCAGAGCTTCTGCATGGCAAAGAATATAGCTAGCAAGATCAATAGAAAGCCCACTGATTGGAAGTGGCGCTGTGGCTCAAGTGGTAGAGCACTCCCCTTGAGCTGAAGCACACAGGGACAGCGCCCAAGCCCAGAGTTCAAGCCCCATGACTGACCAAAAATAAAAAAATAAAAAAATAAATAAAAGAAAGCCCATGGATTGGGAGAAGATCTTCACTAGTCATACAACCGATAAGGGTCTCATATCAAAAATATACTTGGAACTCAGAAATTAAATCTCCTAATAACAAATCCTCAAAGAAACAACTGCCTGATAAAAAAGTGGGCTAAAGACTTAAAGAGAAACTTCTCTGAAGAGGAAAGAAGGATGGCCAATAGACACATGAAGAAATGCTCAACCTCCCTAGCCATAAAAGAAATGCAAATCAAAACAACATTGAGATACCACCTCACCCCAGTTAGAATGGCAAAAATCAAGAACTCTAATAACAACAGATGCTGGAGGGGATGTGGACAGAAGGGAAACATACTGCATTGTTGGTGGGAGTGTAAACTTGTTCAACCACTTTGGAAAGCAGTATGGAGGTTCCTCAAAAGACTCCACATAGAGCTCCCCTGTGACCCAGCAATCCCATTTTTGGGCATTTACCCAAATGATCACAAACAAGACAACACTAAGGCTACTAGCACAACTAAGTTTATTACAGCATTATTTACCATAGCTAAGTTACGGAACCAACCCAGATGCCCCTCAGTAGATGAATGGATCAAGAAAATGTGGTATATATACACAATGGAATTCTATGCCTCCATCAGAAAGAATCACATTGCTCCATTTGTTAGGAAATGGAAAGACTTGGAAAAAATTATATTAAGTGAAGTAAGCCAGGCCCAAAGAAACATAGGTCCCATAGTTTCCCTTATTTGCAAAATCTAGTATATGTGTAGGACAAGTAGAATAGGTCACAAGCTATGTACATATAACCAGATAAGATGATGTTGAGTGGAATGAACCCCAAGATAAGGACACAAATATTTTTTTTCTTTCTTGCTATTGTTTCTAATATATTTATAATGTGATTTTTTTTGTTTCTTTGTATGTTCCTCCCCCACTGTATAACCTCTGTTTTCACTGCATTTGATGTTGGTGCCCTGCATCTTGTATATACAATTCTCTAATTCAGGGAGGGGAAGAGAAAAAACAAAATGCTGAAATAGGGATACAGGTGGACCCATTACAACAATCATATGTACAAGACACTATGTTGAAAATGAACTTTACAACTTTGGCAGAGGGGGGTGGTGTAGTTGTGGAGGTGGGAGGGAAGGGATGGTAGGGAAAAACAAAGGAGGATGCAACAATGCTTGATAGGATATGTCCTCATTACCTTGCTTATGTAATTAACCCCTCTGTACAATATTTTTACAATAAAAATCTTACAAAAATAATTATGCTGGAAGAAAATCTGGGTGTCTCCTGAGAACTGGAGGGCCACTGAGAATTGAGAGGCTCCCAATGGACTCTTGTGCTTCCTTCCCATGCGTGACCACCCCCCCTTTTGTTGGTGTTTGTGTGTCTGTCTGTGTGCTTATGTGCCTGTGTATATGTGTGTCAGTGGCAGTATTACGGTTTGAATTCAAGGCCCTGCCCATTGTCACTGGTTGCTCAAGACTGGTACTTTACTATTTGAATCATAGCTCCCCTTCAACTTTTTCCAGTGGTTATTTGGAAGTAAGATCTCATGGGCTTTCCTGCTAGGAACCACCACTCTCAGACCATAGCCTCCCAAGTCACTAGGATTACAGGTGTGAGCCACCAGTGTGCCTGGCCTGTTTGTTTTGTGCTGGTATTTGGGCTTGAATTTAAGAACCAGGGCTTTGAGTTTGTTGAACTTGTTTGCTCAAAACCAGCACTTTGCCCCTTGAGCCACATCTCCACTTCAAGATAAGTGTCTCACAGGTATTCTTGCCCAGGATGGCTCTTTGCACCAGGATGGTCAGACCTCAACCTCATGACTAGCTAGGAATACAGGTATGAGACACTGGCACACACTTTGTATATTTCTTAAATCAAATCATGTCACTCTTACTCCCAACCTTTAAGAGCTTCTTTTTCAGAGTAAAAGCCAAAGTCTCCACCATAACCTAAGTGGCCTCATCTTGGCTAGTGGTTCTCAAACACATCTAGAGGGCTTGTTTGAAGCAGGAACCACTGGGCCCTAGCCCCTGACTCAACAGGCCTGGGTTGGACCTTCTAATGTGTATTTCTAAGTTTCCCGATGACATCACTGCTGTTGGGTGGACACCACACTTGTAACTCATTGTTCTGCACAAGCTGCCCACTGCCTCTCCTACAGCAAGCATCTCCTCCACTACCCACGCTGACTGTGATGCAGCCACACTGGTCTACTGCCTCTAAGACAGGCCAGACACCCTCACACTTTGAGTTCATGACCCTACCTGATTCTGTGGCCTAGATGTCTTGCCTTGATCTCTCCTAAGTAACTTTACCATATGAGGCTTTTCTAAATTCATACTTCACTGCAAATTGCTAACACTCCTCCCTGGCACATCCCTCAATCTATTTTTTCATCATATATTTAAACAGATATGTATGTATATACATTCTCTACCCTCCCCCACTCCCACACACTAAGGCATAGATCTTAAAAACAAAGCCTTTCTTTTTCTCTTTGATATGTCCTCAGTGTCTAGAATCTAATAAACTTAATAGATATGGTGGCTCACACCTAGAATCCTAGCTATTCAGGAAACTGAGATCTAGAATCACTGTTTTTCCTTTTATATCCCATTTTGATTGAAAAGTAACCATTAAAGAAACTTTTTAAGAGAACCAAGGGCTTCCTTTTTTCTGGAGGTTTCCTTCAGTCCCTTTTACCTAGTCCATCTCAAATGTGTCCCCCTGGGAGCTTTGGCACCCCAGAAAATCTGCAGGTTCCCCGACCCTGGTTAAATTCAGAAAGAATATAGCACTGCCTTTAGTCATATGGTGGGCAGAGCAGAAGGCACCCACCATGTGGGCCACCCAACACCTCTCATCTACACCAGTGCCACCTCCACACTCCCAGCCACATGAGGAGTATTGTGTGACCATCACTTGCACTGGCTTAGGCATGGGCTTCCATAATCATCAGGACAGATGTCCTGAGAGCTATTTCACCTGCACAAGGTGACATTTCCCAAGGCAAGATACATTGCTGATCTGGGAAATCACTGGCATTGGAGCAAGCCAGTGCTGCTGCAACTGCACTGCAGGATGCATCTCTCTGGAGAGGAAGCTGGGGCCTTTCCTTCCCAAACACAATGGAAATCCTGGAAGAGTCCCTACTTGTCTCTGGATAAGTCCTTAAACAATTCCTGCAGCCCTCATCTGTTAGAAATGAATAGAAAAAGGATACAGAATTGTTCAAGGCATTTTCCTTCTTCACAGAAGGGTGCACTATCATCCTGTCCGCCCTCCCTCCCCCAGAGCGAGGCAGCACACCAAGTGGGGAATTGGCTTGGTTTTCATCCAAATCCAGGAATGATCCCTTCTCCTGTTGCTAAGGAGTCAGGATCACATCTTTAGAAACAATAAGTTACGAGGCTGATACAGTCATAGAAGGAAGACAGAAGGCATTCTAACTGTCAGTGGACTGCCCCTAGTCAGAAGGCAGTGTACTTTGGGAAGCCATTGCTCTAAAACATTCTCATCACCTGCTAATGAAACTGTAACTCCACTGCACCTCATCTTTTTTATTACAATAACAAAACAAGAAAAAGAAAAAGAAAAGGGTGTCTTGTACTTTATTGCCAGGACTGGCTTCAAACCATAATCCTCAGATTTCAGCCTCCTGAGTAGTGCCAGGCTTTTCCATGAGACAATTTTCTCAAATTAACTAAGAAAGAAGCAAAAAGATATAGAGAAAAGTCCAGAACTTGAGCTGAGATTCAGCTGGAAGATTCTGGACAACATCCACACCTTGATTTCAAGCCTATGACCAGCAAATAATAACAACAACAATAGTAATAATAATAATCATAATAATAATGTGAATACAAAGAATTCAAGAGCCCATTAAATAGAGTAAAATTGAGTGAGCCAGGTATTTTTTGGTGCCTGATGTGTAATCCCAGTTAGGAGAATGAAATCTTAGGATGGTGTTTAAAAATCTCACCGGGGCCTGAAATTCCATGAGGCTCTAATCTACAACTAACCAGCAAAAAGCCAGAAGTAGAGCTGTGGCTCAACTGTAAAGCAACACCCTTGAGCAAAAAAGCAAAATAACAGTGACCAGGCCCAGATACATAAATCTAGGACAACTAATAATTAAATACAAACCTATAAATAAAAATCAGAGTGGAAGAAGGACACAGAGAGCCAATTACAGTTGTTCAATTTTATTTCCCTGTCATTTTTCTTCCTCTTCCAGGGAAACACTGCCTCTAAGAACTTGATAGCAGCTAGATTTAGACAATTAAACCTAAATCGCAGAGTTTCTGCAGACCTGGGAAATTTTTCAGGGCCCTGTGCACCTGATGCACTTTAGCCTTTATTTTTCTTCTCGTATTAATTCTAGGAGCCTTTTATTTCCCTTAGGACTCATGCATAATTTTGCCTGCTTTTAGATGGAATTAATAGAAGGATGAACTCATTTCAATGAAGATTTATTATTTCACATAATAAGAACCATGGCACACTCAGGAGTCACATCTTGCCCATAAAAACAAACACATTTTCAATGTGAAAGGCTGGAACAAAATCTACCAAGCAAATGGCCCCCCAAAACAGGCGGGAGTTGCAATCCTAAAATCAGATAAAATAGACTTCAAATTAAAATTTGTGAGAAGAGATAAAGAAGGTCGCTACATATGAATTTAGGGATCTCTCCTTCAGGAGGATATTACAATTCTAAATATCTATTCACCAAACAATGGAGCACCAAAATTTATCCAAGAAACACTACTTTCCCTCAAATCCCACATAGATCCAAAGGCATTAATTGTTGGGGATTTTAATACACCACTTTCCCCACTAGATAGACCAACTCGGCAAAAACTCAACAGAGAAACCGCAGATCTAAACAACTGCTTAGATCAACTAGATTTCACAGACATCTACCAAATATTTCACCCAGCAGCAGCAGAATACACGTTTTTCTCAGCAGCACAAGGAATGTTTTCTAAAATAGACCACATTTTATGCCACAAAGCAAACTTGTCCAAATTCAAAAACATTGAACTTATACCTTGCATTCTCTCAGACCACAAAGGAATCAAATTAGAACTCAACACCAAAAGCCACCAAAGAAAGTCCTGTAACACATGAAGGCTGAACAACACACTGCTGAATCACGAGTGGGTCATTGAAGAGATTAGAAAGGAAATTCAAATGTTCATGATATTCAACAAAAAGGAATACACAAATTAGCAGCTCCTCTAGGACACATCAAAGGCAGTAATCAGAGGCAAATTTATAGCTCTGACTTCCTACATCAACAAATTAAAGAGATCTGAACCAACATTTTAATGACACATCTGAACCTCCTTGAATAAGAGCAGCAAGATAAACCCCAATCCAGTAGACGGGAAGAAATAATTAAAATTAAATCAGAATTAAATGAATTAGAATCCAAAAAAAACTATAGAAAGAATCAACAAAACAAAGAGTAGGTTCTTCGAAAAAATTAACAAAATTGACAGATCCTTAGCAACTCTTATCAGAAAAAGAAGAGAACACACCCAAATAAATAAACTCAGAGATGAGAATGGAAACATCACCACAGAAACAACCAAGTTCAGAACATTATAAGGGAATACTTCTCAAAACTTTATGCTAATAAGTTTGAGAACTTGGAAGAAATGGACCTTTTCCTAGCAAAAATTGACATGCCAAAACGAAACCAAGATGAGTTAAACCATCTTAACAGGCCCATATCAGGCTAAGAGACCTCCCATCTAAGAAAAGTCCAGGACCAGATGGTTTTACAGCGGAATTCTACAAGGCCTTCAAAGCAGAGCTCACACCAATACTTCTCCAAAATTTTGACGAAATTACCTAAGAGAAAGAATTCACATCTATAGCAAAACATAATGAATGTGTATGGTTGCTTCTCTCATGATGGCACTGAAGTAAATAATCTAATACCCAAATGCCTAGTTCAAGAGGGAATGTATTAATAACTGATTGAATACTTATTCAGAGAAACTCTACACAACAATTTTTAAAAAACCAAGAAAGATCCAGGCACATCAGCTCAAAAATGCAATACAACTACTTGATAGGCAAACATTGAGACATGGTGGTTCAAGGTCACCAAGGGTATGAAAGTTTGAGACTTCATCTCACTCAAATAGTAGCAAGGTTATTGTTTCAGCTTCAGAGAAAGCATGATGTCTGGATGTAGTGGTGTGGACCTGTCATTCCTAGCAGCAGAGGAACAGAGAAAAAGATGTAAGAGGATTGCATCCCAGGTATAGAGCAATATACACGTTCCCCCAAAGCCTAAGGCCCTGGATTCAATCCCCTGTAGCATGTAACAAGTCCAGGATGACTCTGTGTGATTCCAAGTTATGTACTTCAGTAGTAAAGGGCTGTTGAATTGGAAGGAGTCATGGAAACATTAGAGAATAATAGAAAATTTCAATGAGAAGATAGTAAAGAATTAAGTAGATAGAAACAAGTGTAAAATATCACTGAGCTGTGCTTAAGTTTTGTGAATTTTATTATGTGTGTTGTACCTCTTTCTAAAATGACAGAATCAAAGAAAACTATTGATGTAACTTTCAGAACCCTCACCTGACTATTAAAAGCAGTTCCATCATTAGGGAGAGCCCACTGCAGTGTGTGTAGGCCTTGGATCCAAACAACATTGCTCATTGATGTTGTAAATACATACGCATTTAAAAATAAAAATAGAACTTGTTTTTCATAGGGAAGGAGTAAAGACTACTGACAGTCACAGATGGGATTGACAATGATTCACTGGTGTTTCAGTGAGATTCCCTTGGAAGGATGCTGAGAGAGGCCTGATTCAAGTGGGGCTGGAGAACTGCACTTGAGGAAGTAAAAGGTAGGGCTATAGATGATCCTTTGCATTACTTGGTCATGATTTAGAGATGGTGTCCATGTTGGCCTCTATAAGACATTATATAATAGCATAAGACTTCCTTAGGATCATGTAGGCCCAGTATTGTAAGGGAAGTGTGTGCACTTGTACATTTCCTTACAAATGAGCCTTACAAACCCTGACCCTCCACACACCAGTTGTCACCTTCTGAGAAGAAAGTATGTGTCCATTGTGAAGAGCAGACTGACTATGACCATGGACAGAGAGCAACCTAGGACTTGGATGGAATAAATTATAACATTTTTGGGTACTAAATAAATACCCCTTTTAGGAGGAAAGCAGCAGAGATAGCTCTGTCTGTGTTTCAGAGTCCTGCTGCAGGGTTTTGGTGCAGCCAGCAGATGCCTGGGGAGCACTGTGCATACACAGCACATAGGTAAGTGGCTGAGTCTTCAGGGTTAGCAGTGGTGATATGCAAAACACTTCCCTTTTTTGATAATGTAGCTCTTAGTCTGTCTTTCTGCTTTGCATCCCCAGCTGAATACAGGATGAAGAGGAATGTGGGGCCTCTCCCAGCATCTTGCCTGTACCACAGGAGTCCTCCAAAATTGCTGGTGGTGTAGCTGCAGTTGAGGCTGCCACTGCCTCCCTCCTGGAGGCTCAGGCTCTCAGGACTCTGCTCCACCTCATCTTTCCCATGCAGCCCTGTTCAGGAGAACATCAGAAGGGACAGAATGTATTTAGTTCAGCATTTTGAAGTATTTCAAGAGATCTGGGAGGGGTTGGGACTAAATATCTCCCTCTCCTCCTCTTGTTGGATGAACCCTCCCTGGGGTTCTTATCTCTAAACCTCTCACTTACAGCCAAATTGAAGCAAGACCAGGAATATGCACTGTAACACGTTCTCCATCGTGATCTCTCAGTCCTTGAGACAAATTGTAATGATTCCAGATCTTCTCAAGGTTGCTATTTTCACTGCCTTCTTAGGTCTTAAGACCTAAGGATAGACAGCTCAATAGACAGCTCAGCCAATCAAATGCACCTCCTCTAGTAAGTCATGCTGTTGAAACCCAATGCATTTGAGGAAGAAGGAAAATGGAACTACTGACCCCTGGTGGCCTCAGAGTGAACCTCACAGTGTTCATTTCATCACTGAGAAACAGGGTGAGGGTGTAGGGTGTGGGGGGGTCAGGGGTGGAAGGGGAATCTTCATTATTGGTGGGCATAGAGCATAAGAGGTGTAAAATAGCAATGGGAAAAATATTGTCATATTTGTACTTTTAATCCTCGCACTGACATTTGAGTGGGCTTTAAAGCTGCCACCACAGGTTATTAAAGAGTTCATCACTAATGGTAGGAAACTTTGAAATATTGAGTTAAGAGGTAAAAATAGTTTTAGGAATGTGTAGAAACTTTCTGATGTAATCTAGAGTCTAGAGGCTTTGGGAACATTAGTTAGGAAATCGATTTTTTTTTTATCTATTGTTTTTCCTCCCATGGCTACAGCAACTGTACCATGATGATCTAAACCTGGGAACACACATTTGACAGACCTTAGGAGAGATGAACATAGGAGCTCTTCATTTCTGGATCATAGTGAGAGTCACTGTGTGGTTGTGTGCAGGGGTGGTATCATACATGCATTTTGTATATTACACTATATAAATACACAGAAAAAGCAAGTCTCTCTTCTCATATACCTTCTGAACCACAGTTCTCACCCTAGAAACACTTGTTCTCATTAAACACACACACACACACACACACCAATCAAATTTTAATATATGCATTCCATTCTGTGCCTTGCTGTTTATCCACACAGAATGGTCACAGAGTTTCACATTAACTGGACTATTTGTAGGTAATCTGCTTTAGATTTAGCATTATTTCAGAAATATAAAACTATGACAGAAGACATGTGCATTTCTCATGGAACAAATCTGCCAATGTCCTTTCCCCCACACCCTAGTCAACATATTACATTACCAATTTTGTAAAATTTTTTCTTAATACATAAATATGGTAACTCAGGGTACCATAAGTTTAATTTCACTAAAATAGTGGAAACCAGGATTTTAACAGTTTATTTTAAAATAGATCAGCATGTCTGTCACTGAAGTATGTTCTTTCTGTATAGATGTTAGTTTGAGAGGCAAGATCAGACTCCAGCTCTATGGTGTGCTTTCATGTTATATATAAGTTGATACCACCTCACCCCAGTTAGAATGCCTATAATCAAGAAATCTAATAACAACAGATGCTTGAGGGGATGTGGACAGAAGGGAACCTTACTGCATTGTTGGTAGGAGTGTAAACTTGTTCAACCACTTTGGAAAGCAGTATGGAGGTTCCTCAAAAGACTCCACATAGAGCTCCCTTAGGACGCAGCAATCCCACTTTTAGGCATTCACTCAAATGATCACAAACAAGACCACACTAAAGCTACCAGCACGACTATGTTTATTGCAGCCTTATTTACCATAGCTAAGATATGGAACCAACCCAGATGCCCCTCAGTAGATGAATGGATCAAGAAAATGTGGTATATATACACAACAGAATTCTGTGCCTCTATCAGAAAGAATGACATTGCCCCATTTGTTAGGAAATGGAAAGGCTTGGAAAAAATTCTATTAAGTGAGGTAAGCAAGGCCCAAAGAAACAGAGGTCCCATGGTTTCACTCATTTGCAATAACTAGTATATGTCTGAGTCAAGCAGAAAAGGTCATGTTAGGGGAATGAACCCCAAGATAAGTATTCAAAATTTTTTTGTTTTTTTTTCCTTTCATGCAATTGTTTCTAACATATTTATAAGATGATTTCTTCATTGCTTTATATGTCCCTCCCCCACGGTATAACCCATGCTTTCACTGTATTTGATGTTGGTATAATTTGTGGAGGGGAAGGGAAAAAACAAATTGTTTAACTAGGGATACAGGTGGACCCATTGCAACAATGAGATGTACCAGTCGTAGTGTGGAAAAATGAACTTTACAACTTTGGTGGGGTGTGGGGAGAGGTTTGGGTGAGGGGAGGGGGAAGTATGGGAAGGGATGGGAAGGGGAAACAAAGAGGAGGCAACAATGCTTGATAACAAATGTACTTGTTATCTTGCCTATGTAATTGTAACTCCTCTGTACCGTATTCTCACAATAAAAAAAAAGAAAAAATATGTTGATATAATGCAGAATAATGGCCAGAACATAGTAAAGCACACAATTTATACTAGCACTTATGTTAATAGTTGAATTTTCTTTAGAAAGTTAATTTAATTGTCATATGAAAACCCTTACATATTAAAGTTCTACTTCTGTCAATTTTTGCAACTTTTTGGCAATTGATTTTTCACTTTCTAATGGCATTTTTATGTAAAACTGTTTATTGTCATGTCCTCTTCTGTATGTTTGTTCAAATGTGTTCATCTGAACTTTAGGATCTGCTCCCAAAGTCTGATAAACTTCAAGTTTACTAAAAAATCTTGTACTGTGCTTAGCATTTTGTCTTTAAGTATGCCATTTTTACTTAATGTAAGAAGTCAATTTTTCAAGTGTCTTTTCAGTTGGTCTAGCAATATCAACTTAATATCTAGCAATATCAACTCTTTCCCACCTTGTTATTGTGACCTTGTGGTACATGTGATTTGTTTTATGTCTGACATATCTTCTCAATCAGCTATCAAGTGGCCTGGTTATATTTCTGCTAGTTTTGACTACTTTCATGTCATTTACCTTATTTAATATAGAAAAGTGCTTTTTTCCCTCATGATTTTTTGAAACATGTAGACTTCATTTGAATTTTGTAATTACCATAACTAGTTTCAAAGAAATAAATAAACATTTAAAGTTAGTATCGTTTAAAGACAACATCTCCTTATATCAAGGGAATTACTGACTTGAGAGAAGGGGTATCATATAAAAATTATCCTAATATTCTGGCTTGGATAGCAAGTTATTTCTCAAAAAATATGGAAGTTTAGCAACACTAGATTGAAAATATTATGGAAAAAGAACTGGAATAAATTTCTGTAGCCACTAATTTCTCAGATACAAATGCTTAGATAATGAGCATTAAGAACTACAAAAGGGATTAAGTCCTCCTATGATGCTAGTGACTAGGAACTGCCCAATTAAAATCTCAGCACTTTACAGAAAAGAAAACAAAAGATGAGAAAAGTAAGCAACTTATTTAAGATCACACCAGCTATTTAAAACTTGCTTAGTGTTCTATTTGCTGACATTCCATACCGATGCATCATAGCCCACCAGCATGACACCTGTAAAGGCAAGAATAAAGTCATAGTGTCTTGGAATTAATAAACAAACTACACTTAGGTTTCCCAAACTGGGGTATGCATCAAGGCATATGAAATCATAGGGAGGCACAGGTCTATGTTAATTTTGATTTGTTTTTCCAGTGAGATGCTTTGTATCTCACAACTAAAATTTAACATGTCACATATAAATCAATTCATATTGTGAACATCAGTAAGCTTTATCTTTGAAAAACACGAGTACACAGAGATGCCATTACATGTTCAAATACAGGTTTGACCTCTCTTCGAAGTATCCAGTGTTCCATTTTTATATGTAAGCTAGAAATTTGTTTGTTTTTTTTTAGTGCAATTCCTAATTTTGAATGGTGATAAATAACTCAAGAGGTTTTAACAAATTTGTGGGGCAAAAGAGTATTAAAAATCTGCATTTCTGAGCATCTGTTGTAACAGCCAAGGAATGAATGCAGAGTTTAACAGGAAGTAGACCTTGGAGAATGTCTGGACTTGGTTGCTGAGACAGCATTCACCGTGGTCCACAACCCTTTTCACTTTGAAAGGAGACAGAACCAGAAGTTTAGGGTGAAAAAGAGACAAACCCAGCTGGACATTCTATAAACACTTTTCTCAGAGGCAGTATTCAAATCAGAGAGACTTGTCTAGACAGCTCTTAAAAATCACAAAACAGGTAAGTTGAGGAATACTTCATATGGCTTCTGTTTGTACACTGTTTGATTATGGAAAGAGATCTTAATTAAAATAATTTATTCTACATAATTGAATAAGAACTCTACATTTTCTAAGACAAATCAATGGAATGTCTTTGTATGAAAAGGAGATAAAAACACCTGTGTAATAAGTGCATAAATATATGGATGTATCTGAAAATACCATAATTCATAAATAGAATTACCCATGTAATCCTAATAAAATGATACAAGTATAAATAAGAGGCTTTGTTCAAGAGCATTTTGCAAATGATTTTTCATGGGCTTTATATTTTATCTCAATGTATTATGAAGGACAGAGGAGACACACATGTCTAATAGGTGGTGAGTCTAGACATTATATGTGAATTGTCCTACAGTTTTTCTGTAAGTCCCACTTGTGCCCCTTGCCCACTTGTGTCTCTTGCTCTGGCTGAAGTTTATGAAGGCACCTGAAGGCTCCTCTCTCACTCTGGCCTCTCTGAGTGCGCAGAAATACACAGCTGAGTCCTCCAGCTGTGTGGCTATGATGGTGAGGTTGATGAATCTGGATGGCTTCTGGAAGTTCAGGAAATAATGACCCTATATTGCATTTTGCTTATCATTAGAGTTCTGACGAATAAGCAAAACCAGTTCCCTGCTAGGGGGCTGTTTGTACCAGACGATGAAATAAAAACTATCCTGAGTCTCCTACAAACAGTCTAGGGTCACAGCCTCTTTCTCCACCACCAAAATTGCAGGCTGAGCTTGGGTTACCTTCTGGGCCATATGGTTCCTGAATGCAAGAGGACAGAGTCAGACTGATCTTTTCTTTATAATCAAGGTGTTAGAGAGATGAAGGAGCTTAGGACTCAGAATCCCTCCTGTTGAGCCTCAGAGAACAAAGCTCCAAGACCATCACTCTCATATCTGAGAAGAGTTTTAGCCCAGTGTTTGTGGACATCCATACCAAGACAGATAGAAGTGACAGCTGCTCC